TACCCATACGAGTACATGGACTCCTGGGATCGATTCAAAGAACCCCTACCACCCAAAGAGAGATTCTACAGCACCCTAAACGAGTCCGGCATAAAGGATGAGGAGTACCAGCATGCGTTAGATGTGTGGGAAAAGTACTCCTGTGAGAATATGGGGGACTACCACGACATCTACTTAAGGTCTGACGTCGTCCTACTAGCGGACGTCTTTCAAAGCTTCAGAAAGATGGCAATGAAATACTACGGGTTGGATCCAACGAACTTCTACACGGCTCCTGGGCTTAGTTGGAGTGCGCTGCTAAAGAAGACAAACGCGCAACTGGATCTCCTAACGGAATACGACATGTACCGCTTTATGGAAGACGGTATCCGCGGCGGCGTTTGTGGACCCAGCAGACGATACGCCAGAGCAAACAATCCCACGGTGGAGTRCGACCCGGAGAAGCCAACCACATACATCTTCTACTTAGGCGCAAACAACCTCTACGGTTGGGCAATGTCGCAGTACTTACCTGTACGCGACTTCGAATGGGACAACATAAAGCCCATAGAGTTTTACCTAAACGTAGGCAAAGAAGACGACAAAGGTTACGTGCTGGAGGTTGATTTGGAATACCCAGAGCACCTGCACGACGCACACGATGAGTTTCCCCTTGCCCCAGAAGCAATAGAAATACCATTTAAGCAGCTGAGTCCGCTGCAGAGGGAAATGTGTCCTGGTTACAAATCGTACAGGAAACTAACTATGAACCTGATGGACAAAAAGAAGTACGTGGTGCATTACCGCAACCTGCAGTTCTACGTGCGACACGGAATGAGAGTAACGCACATACACCGCGTTTTGAAGTTCACGCAGGAACCCTGGATGCGCTCCTACATTGACTTTAACACACAAAAGCGTAYGCAGGCAAAGAATGACTTCGAAAAGAGCCTGTTCAAACTAATGAACAATAGCGTATTTGGTAAGACAATGGAAAACATCCGCAAGCGCGTAAGCATAAAAATAGCCAGCACCATAGAGGAAGCAGAAGCATACGTGTCACAGCCTGGATTCGTCAGATACGTAGAAATGTTAAACTTCTACGTAATCCATATGAAGAAGGCGAACCTATTCCTGAATAAACCCGTATACACGGGGTTTACAGTGTTAGACCTATCAAAGTTGCTCATGTATGAGTTTTACTACGACAAGCTAAAACCCAAATACGGTGATAAGTGCCGCCTCTTATACACCGACACCGATTCCTTGATACTAGAGGTGCAGACGGAAGACATTTACGAAGACTGTGTTCCCGACAACGATGAATACGACACCAGCGATTACCCACGTAACCACTTTCTTTACTCTGCAAAGAATAAGAAAGTAATCGGGAAAATGAAGGATGAGATGAAAGGAAAACCCAT